ATATACATCTGACAAAGGATTAATATCCAGAATACACAAGGAACTCAAACAACTTTACAACCAAAAAACAAGAACCCAATTAAAATATCAGCAATGGTGCTAAATAGGCATTTTTCTAAGGAAGATATACAAATGGCCAACAGACACATGAAAAAATGCTCAACATCACTCAGCATTCAGGAAATTCAAATCAAAACCACACTGAGATACCATCTCACCCAAGTTAGGATGGCTAATATCCAAAAGACTGTGAATGATAAATACTGGCGAGGTTGCAGAGAAAAAAGAATTCTCATGCATTGTTGGTGGGACTGCAAAATGGTGCAGCCTCTATGGAAAATGGTATGGAGTTTCCTCAAGCAATTGCAGATAGACCTACCATATGACCCACCTATCCCACTGCTGGGAATATACCCAGAGGAATGGAAATCATCAAATTGAAGGTATACCTGTTCCCCAATGTTCATCGCAGCACTCTGCACAATAGCCAAGAGTTGGAACCAGCCCAAATGTTCATCATCTTTACAATAGCTAAGACCAGCCCAAATGTCCATCATCAGATGAGTGGATACGAAAAATGTAGTATATCTACACAATGGAATACTACTCTGCTATAAAAAAGAATGAAATACTGCCATTTGCAATAAGATGGATTTACCTAGAGAGAATTATATTAAGTGAAATGAGTCAGGCAAAGAAAGAGAAATATCACATGTTCGCACTTATTTTGGGGAGCTAAAAATAAATAAATAAATACACAAATAAACTGGGTGGAGGAGGGAAGAAGCAAAACAATCAAAATTCCTTGAAGTTGATATGACAAGCAAACAGATATGAGGTTGTTGGGAAGGAGGGAGAAAAGGGAGGGGGGAGGGAGGTTTCAGTAATGGGCCACAACAATCAACCACATTGTATATTGATAAAATTAGATTAAATTAAATATAAATAAATAAATTAGTATTTCAAAAGTCAAAAAAATAAAAATAAATAAATTCTAAGAATAGCTGATTACTAAATACTTAGTGACTGATTTAGCAAATGACCAAAAAATCAGTGGCTAAGTTGTATCATCAAATATTTTGCTAAGGTAATTTTATTAAATAATTCATTTAAACATGAGACCTATGTAAAGAATTTGCGTCTTGAATTCTTGGCACCTATAAATCTCCACCTTTTACTACATTTTTTAGAAAGTCATTTAAAACATATTACGAGATTCATCTTTCCATCACATTAGCTGCAGAATATACAGTGGTTTGTGGTGCATATTTAAATTTACCCTTCTTAACTTTTCTTACACTTTTACATCCTGCTCTGCAACTCAGAAGGCCAGCCTTATATGCTGCATCAATGAATATCATTGCCTTCTGTCTTTAGTTTAGTTTGGCCAAGAACAGAAGCCAGCAATAGAGTTGAGAGAGTAAAACAGAATAAGACTAGGACAGAGCTCCTATTAGGTGACTTTTTCTCATAGTTGTAACATTCTCCAGGTCCGAATTAGTACTTCTACTTGCCTCTTCAGGCTACAAAACTTCCATTGGATGACCTGTGTGGTAATCTTGTCCACAAGTTTTAAATAATTCTCTCCTAAAGTTTTTGTCAATTATCCCAATTTAAGACTACTATTTTATTCTTGGTAGGATATTGAGTGATACACTGAGATGCACCCACCACAATAAGTGACACTGGTGAAATAAGAGCAACCC